CGGCAGAACTCCCGATACCATCCACACCATCTGGATAATTGGCGGTCCACCACTGTACGATTTAGAAGATGTTTTCTTCCTCGCATGATTTCCTTGTGGAATCGATTACCGTCAGCCATTTTTCCGGACCGATACGACTTAGGGACCTTCAAGAAAAGAGCCTAGTCCTTTTTAAAAGGCCGGCAACGCATCTGCGATTCCCCTGGTGTTGCAGTTGTTCATGGGCGGTGGTAGTCATTTACCATCAGGTGAGCCGCATGGTCGTTTGCCCCCTCTTCTATAAAAAAACCTCATGAGGTACCTTGAGGATCACCAGCTGATTAGTGGCCGCCAGTACGGTTTTCCTCGGGGTCGATCAGCTGGTGATCTTCTGGTCTACCTGACTCACAGATGGGCAGAGGCAGTATAGTCCAAGGGGGAAGCATTGGCTGTTAGCTTGGACATAGCGAAGGCCTTCGATCGTGTCTGGCACAAAGCGCTTCTTTCGAAGCTTCCTTACTATGGGCTTCGCGAGAAATTGTGCAAATGGATCACCAGTTTCCTTGCCGATCGGAGGATCAAGGTAGACGATGCATGCTCTGATTTCAAGCCTATCAACGCTGGTGTTCCACAAGGCTGCGTGCTATCACCAACGCTGTTTCTCCTGCATATCAATGATATGTTGCAAACTGGTAACCGTGTAGTGGCGGTTAAGAATATCCACTACCCCATATCTTCCCGCGGGTGTCGTAAAAGGTGACACAGGGCAGATGGGCAGCAGCATCGTCCTGGTAACGGCAAAACTACAATAAAAAACTGCGGTTGCCAATCCGCTCGCCAAGCGTGGCAACTATGGCAATATACCCCCTAATGATGAAAAGTTACGAAGAGACGGCCTCCAGTCCCCGGCGGCCCCGCTATTCCTGACTACGGTGGCGACCATGGTAACGGCGGGGCAGGGGGTGCTAAGAATCTCCGGTGGAGGTTCGGTTGCCACCTACGACGACTCGACCTGGCAACATACAACGCACGCACCCTGAAGACTGACGAGAAGATTGTGGAGCTGGAAGAAGAGATAGACAAGTTACGCTGGCATATTATAAGATTATCCGAAGTCCGAAGAGAGGGGGAGGACACGGTAATCCTCGAATCCGGCAATTTGCTCTATCACCGGGAGGGCGACCATCTGTCCCAAGGAGGTGTCGGATTTATCGTCCACAAGTCTCTCGTTAACAACGTTGTAAAGATTGAGAGTGTGTCGACGAGGGTTGCGTACCTTATACTCAGAATCACTAAACGGTATTCGCTGAAGGTCATACAGGTTTACGCACCAACCTCGGCACACCCCGATCAGGAGGTGGAGAAAATGTATGAGGATATCTCTAGAGCCATGCATTCCTCCAAAACCCAATATACGGTGTTAATGGGAGACTTCAATGCAAAACTAAGCACCAGAGAGAACGGTGAACTGAAGGTGGGGAAATTTGGAATAGGGCAACGGAACCCAAGGGGCCAGCAGCTGGCCGACTTCATGGAGAAAGAGGGACTCTTTATGATGAACTCTTTCTTCCAGAAGCGGCCCCACAGGAAGTGGACCTGGTCGAGCCCCGACGGTTCGACAAAAAATGAGATTGACTTCATTATGACGACCAGACTACAAAAATGTTCAGTGATGTCTCAGTGATCGCGAGGGTGAAAACCGGCAGCGATCACCGAATGGTTAGAGGCACACTGAACCTAAACGTTAAGTTGGAGAGGTCTCGTCTAATGAAGTCAACGCTCCGTCCCCCTCGTGCTCTGTTCCAAAGTCCCGAAACCTTTCAGCTCGAGTTACAAAACCGTTTTCAGTGCCTAGAAGACAATGAAGTGGACGATTTGAATGACAAGCTCGTGGAAACTGTCCATGCGGTCGGAGCTAAGTTCTGCAAGACCCGCCGCAGAAGAACACAAAAACTCTCCGATCACACTCTTAATCTCATGGCTGTTAGACGGGAGATGAAGCTACATTCTTCAACAGATTTGACAGCATACAGGCAACTGAACAGACAGATCTCCAAATGCATGCGGCGGGACTTACGCAACTTCAATACAACTCGTATTGAAGAAGCGATCGAGCGGAACCAAGGCTCCAAAGTCTTTGCCAGAGATCTGTCTGCCAGAAAGAGCCAACTGTCAAAGCTGAAGACCGAGTGGCAGCATCGTTTCCGGGGCACCTGAGATTTTGAGTGAGATTGAGAGGTTCTATGGGCAGCTGTACACGTCATCGTTGGAGCCGCACGCAAGTGTGAGTAACGATCCAAGAGCGAGTCTTATCCGACATTATTCCGATGATATCCAGGACGTCAGTCTGAGCAAGATTAGAATGGCTCTCCAGCACCTTAAAGACGGCAAGGCCCCAGGCGAGGATGGAATTACAGCGGAGCTTCTGAAAGCGGGTGGAAAACCGGTACTTGAAGTCCTTCAGAAGCTCTTTAATTCCGTCCTCCATGGTGGCATTACACCGGAGGCGAGGAGCAGAAGTGCGGTGGTCTTGTTCTTCAAGAAAGGCGACAACGCTCTCTTGAAGAACTACAGACCGAAGACACAAGTTTGCGCGTTTACCGCTAAAAAGAAACCCTTTGTCGTTTCTCCTCAGTTTCAAGGCACTCCCCTTGCTGCCTCAGCTAGCATCGGAATCCTCGGCGTCAACATATCGAATAGTGTGCAGTTTCGAGGTCACTTGGAAGGGAAGGCCAAATTGGCCTCTAAAAAGCTTGGCGTGCTCAGCAAAGCGAGACAGTATTTCATGCTGGCACATTGTTTGCTTTACATAGCGCACTTTACAAAGCGCAAGTTCGGCCTCACACGGAATACTGTTGTCATCTCTGGGCCGGAGCACCCCAGTGCTAGCTCCTTCCACTTGACCTCATCCGGCGCAGAGCGGTTCGTATAGTTGACGACCGAGTTCTTTATGATCGGCTCGATACACTGGCACTGCGTAGGGATGTTGCATCCCTTTGCATTTTCTATCGAATTTACCACGTGGAGTGCTCTGAGGAATTGTTCGGATTAATTCCAGCCGACAAATTTCACGAACGCACATCGTGTCAAAATTCACGATACCATCCTCACCATGACTGTACGTTTTACTAGGAGTTTTCTTCCTCGTACAACTTCTCTGTGGAATTGTTTACCACCAGCGATTTTTCCGGACCGATACGACTTAGGAACCTTCAAGAAAAGAGCTTACACCTTTCTAAAAGGCCGGCAACGCATCTGCAATTCCCTGGTGTTGCGGTTGTTCATGGGCGGCGGTAGTCGCTTACCAGGTGAGCCGCATGATCGTTTGCCCCCTCTTCTATAAAAAAAACCTCCATATAGTCCCAGCTCCCAGCAAAGCAAAGAATTATCATAGATACGCAGGTTTTTTTGTTTTAGCTCTACACGGAGGGAGACGAGAGTACAGGCTAATTCATCCTATTCCTAACGCAAGTATTTTAAATTTTTACTGGTTTGAGTTTTTTTCAAATAGGTACTGGTAAAAATGTTTAAAGACTTTACCAAAAGATGATGGTCGTTTACGCAAAAGTAACATAAATAGATAGGCGACGCATCAGCAGCGTCAAATGTGTTACTGCGAGGCGTCTGGTACTGCAATCGTCAATTCTCTTGCCTAGCGTAATGAGACAAATCCTCCATAGATACAATGGGAGGGGCACATGTTCAGCAGGGTACTATCACGGGTTGATGGACAGAGAGGGAAAGAGATTTGAATCTAAGTATTGAAACATTTAATAGAGAGCCGGGTCACCAAGCAAGTGATATGCAAAAATTTTAAGAACTGACCCACATATCCGCCTGATTATGATCTACCAATGAATGGAATAAGTATCTACCGATGGAGTGAAAGGTGTAGAACTTGTCGGCCAACGCTAACGGTCTTATTACATTTAGGCATCGAGTCGCAGGCGGTGCTTGCATAGATGCATATAGCCTATTGCTAACATCGAACATTGGATGTCAGCTTTTTCAAGAATTATTTTATACTTTTGTCTACCACAAGCAATAAGTAGGTAAGTAGGTATTTATATTCAAGTTTTATAAACGGAACATAGTGATTTATTTTATTATATTCCATAACAATAGTTTTATGATAACAGCTCAGTTTAAAGACCTATAACAGTGAATACAATAGAAGTCGTAAGAATAGTTACACCGAGTACATTATACAACGTGTAACAAAAACCCTGTGGTTCCCTTTAAGTGCGTTATCAGAGTCAGTATTCAAACGTAAAGAAATAACTTTTTTTCAAAAAACTTGAACAAAATTTCATTGAAATCAGTCCAGTAGTTTAGGGAGTCGCGGACAAACAACGTGACACGTACTTTTTATATATATTCATATCATGTACTTGGTGTAACTATTCTTTCTAAGTATATTATACCTGGAATAGTAGCCAACTTACCACAACTAATTTCTCATATTATAAACGCTTGGATCGGTTGCGCTTTTTATTCATAATATTTAATTCGATTCAAGTACCTATTAGTAAATATAATTACTACATTATAATGAAGTACACCTTACAAAAATTTATTTTATTAAATTTTCTGAGATCATCGTGTATGATATATAAGTAAAAACATTGACGACAGTTGGCTGTGTAGTGGCGGCATAAGAATATTTACTCGTATTACGTACATATCACAAATTATCCCACGGCCAGTGCGTGTCATGAGAGGCGACAGAAACTAAAACATGAGATAGGAAGCCGCATCTTCCTGATTAACACTAAAAATAATTAAAACTGCGGTTACCAATCCACTAAGCGTAACGATTATGACAAAATGCCTCCTATGAGTCAATCTATGGTGAGGCCTATGTTCAGGTGTTGAATTTTATGGTCTGTAAATACTAATTTATTAATTGACCGATTTTTTTTAAGTGGCTAATAACTATATAAAAACTTTCAATTAAAATATTTTATTTGATTTCGAGTGTTCTGGAATCAATATTCTAATTTTTCTTCTAGAAAATGGTAATGAAGCTATACGCTGTTTCGGACGGGCCACCATCTTTGTCTGTGCGACAGGCGCTCACGAAGTTAGAGTTGCCTTTTCAGTTGGTGGACGTCAACTATGGTAAAGGAGAGCATATGACGGCTAAATATGCAATAGTATGTAAAGATCACATAAATATTAAACTAAAAATATTTTGAATAAAATACCATAAGTATAAGTATTTATTGTTCGCATTTCTATGTTATTTTTTGTCCTCTCGCTCTCTCTCTCTCTCTCTCTCTCTCTCTCTCTCTCTCTCTGTCTCTAATTAGAAAAAAGAAAGAGAAAAGACTCGTGTTGTCCCATCATGTCTGGGACTTGGGTCATACGTGGGACTTTTTATAAAATAGAATGTGCCAACTGTGTTACTTGCCTAGCATGTCGTGAAAGACGTAAGGACTAATGGGATAATGGTTTTGTGATTTTGTAGGCGATGAGCTATCACTTCTTTCACAAGTTATCATCTAAACTCATATTCAGGTAAGTGTAGTTGTAGTAGTTCGCTGCTCCTTGGACTGTATACCCCCACTCGGATTATAGGCGTGATGCTATGTATGCATGTACTAAAAGGGAAAGAAGAAAAAAGACGAGCAATTGTTTTAGTTGATATTATATTTATGTATTATGAACCTATATAATAACTTAATAAATTTTAACGTAGTAGAGCCATGCTGCAGCTTTATTTACAGTAACAGTATGTGTGGGTCAACTTGACCGTGGAAGGATCACGTTCTCACAAAAATACCAGCTTAATGCTGCCGCGTTTCATATGGTGAGTGGGGTGAACCGGAGACTTCTTTTACTGGTAATAAAGTGTTCCTTTTTTAATCTTAGTTCTTTGGTGATAGCCCATTTGCATTTTGATTTTTAATCGAAGATAGGTGTAGGTGGCCACAGCATAAACTTACTTTAAGGAGGTGCTGCGTGCTCGTTTATCACCCTATGGAGAGGGCTATGCTCGGAGTTTCTCTGCATGATAAACTTAGGAATGAGGATATCCGCAGTAGAACCAGAGTAACCGACATAGCCCAACGGATTAGTAAGCTGAAGTGGCAGTGGGCCGGCCATATAGCTCGAAGAACCGACAACCGATGGGGAAGAAAGGTTCTCGAGTGGCAGCCTCGTACCGGTAGGCGAAGTGTAGGGCGTCCCCCCACGAGATGGAGTGACGACCTGGTAAGACATGCAGGAAGTCGATGGATGCAGGTGGCTCAGGACCGTGCTTTGTGGCATTCTTTGGGGGAGGCCTATGTTCAGCAGTGGACTTGTGAAGGGCTGTAATGATGATGATGATGATGATGATTGACGATAAATATAAATAGAGTAGAGAGTATCGGAGGTTTTTTTATAAATTCATAAATCCTTAAAGATGTCTGGTTCATGATTTTGAAATAGCCCAACAGCTGTTAGGAAATTATGTGTTCGACCTTAAACATGAAGTAAGAGAATAAACTTGGTTTCATTACAGATGAACCCACAAAAAGAAATCCCCGTGCTGGATGACAACGGATTTTATTTGAGTGAGAGCAATGCCATCCTGCAATACATTTGTGACAAATACGCGCCTGATAACGATATTTATCCACAGGAGCCTAAAGCTAGGTAAAGTTTTGTTTTTCTATCCAATAAAATAGATTGTAACTAGTAACTACGCACTGGCTTACAATAAATAAGAAAATATAAAATACAAACAAACTTCTTGATACGCACGAGGTATAACAATTCCATGCGATATTTATGTGATAAAATTGTAAGAAGTTTAATAAGTCGCATGTATAGTTTTCCTCCTGAGTTGGACAGGAAAGAAAGTTGGTTCTTACAAATTTTTGATATAAGTAGCTAACGTCAACGTGTTCTGAATATTGACTAGAATAAGAAGGATAATTAAATATTTTCGTGGAATCGAAACACTTTAAAATTGACGACAAATTTCTTAAGTTCTTAAAATATTAGAACTTTTCGCTGACGAATGGTGCTTTCCCAACTCGCTGGCGTAAATCCTAATAAATCGATGGGTTTAGGAATCCCGTTCTTAAACCCACCGATTGCAGCGCTATATCCATTTTGCGCTACATCCAATTTCAGACCAATTGCTATCCTGCCTTTTCTCTCTATGGTTCTGGAAGCTGTTGCTCATAAACAGATTTCTTCTTTCGTTTTCTCAAATAATATTCTTTCCCCTTATCCTTGGTCCCTGGTCATTCTACAAGTATTGCTTTTCTCAGGGTGACGGAAGATATTCGAGAGTGGATGGAAAAATGAAAACTGACCGTCCTCATCTTAATAGATTTTTCTAACCCATTTAATTCTGTTGATCATGATATCTTATTGGCTCTTCTTTATCATTTTAATATCTCGTCTTCAGCTCAGGAATAGGTCTCATCATATCTTCGGATGCAGGATGCCTACAGGTCGTGCGCACTGGGCATATACTATCTGACCGGTGTGATGTGTCTACTGGCGTCCTTCAAGGCGGTATAGTCTCTCCTCTTGTGTTCAATTTTTATTAAACTCATCACATTAAATCTTAAGTGCTTTTACCATCTGTATGCCGATGATCTGCAGTTATCTCATTATTAAATGATGACTTGAAAATGAAATACATCTCCGAATGGTCCACTGTGTATGGCATAAACGTGAACCCAACTAAAAGCCAAACGATAATCTTAGGTAGCCCAAGATTATTATCGAAACTAGATATTTCCACCCTACCATCAATTATGTTTAAAAATAATGTCATAATGTAAAGAACCTTGGACTGTACGTTGATGGTTGCTTAACATGGAAGAAACATATACGGGAGGTGAGTCACAAAACTACTGGAACTTTGCGATCTCTATATCGATTAAAAAACAAACTTTCTACAAACTACAATACCACAGAATAAATATTAGTTAAAAAAACCAATACTAAGATTTTACTTGTACAGTCACTTATTCTAACGATTATTGATTATGTCGATGTGTGTTGCTCAGACCTGTCTCAACATTATCTTAATACATTCGATCGTCTACTTAACAACTGCATCAGATACATTTATGGTCTTCGTAAATACGACCATGTATCTTCTTTTCGTGCTCAGCTAAATTGGCTGCTTATCCGTCAGCGCAGATATGTTAGAATACTCTGCACTCTTTTCACAATTCTGAACGATCCATGTGCTCCCGAGTAAGGGGCGTAGCTACCGCCGTATCAGCCTTATCAATGATACGGGGCCCCCAGGCTACAGAGGCCCCGAACGTGTGTAAGCAAAAATTCTAAGGACTTCTATGAGACAGGATGTTGGTTTGAATTGTTTGGGTAGCTTAGTTCCTAGGAGTGTTAATTTTAAGTAATAACTTATAATCAATATATATATAATTATTTTAATTCAATGCGAGAATTTTTGTTCCTTTTGTGAAAAATCTTCCCTTCATTTGGGCCCCCCGACAAATTTTGATACAGGGCCCCTCTAAGGCACGCTACTCCACTGTCCCGAGTATCTGATATCCAAATTTCAATACCTGGGAGATTCTCATAATCGCTCTCTCCGTTCTTCAGCTAATCGTAAGTTGCTTACTCCTTTACACCGTACTAGTTATTTATCTCACTCTTTCGCCCTCACGGCCATCAAACTCTGGAACGACATCCCTCTTGATATTGAAAAACCTCCAACAAATTTGTTTTTAAAAGTCAAGTACTTAAGCATGTGAAAAAATCGTTGCTAGTTTGAACTAACACAGCTCTAATTTTCATTTACTTAATTATGTATGTATATTTCATATTTGTTCTGACATAGATAATATTTATATGTATTGTGTATATATCTACTGCATACAGTACATATTATATACACCATTATAAATATATTTATAAATGTATATATTGTGTGTACTTAAGTATATATGTATATGTATGTATGTGTATATGTATATTTGTATATACAATTTTTTTTAGTCCTCTCTATTTTGATTATTGTTGCACCGCATCTTGTTTGTCTATCTCTGTTTAGCCTAATGGTTGACTGGGAGAGGATGCCCTATGGCATTAAGTCCGCCATATGCATAACTTTGTGCATGAAAATTTAAATAAATAAAAAAATAGAAATAAAATTAGAACATAATTTTTGATTGCATGTTCATTTTTCCAGAGCCATTGTTAACCACAGGTTGTGCTTTAATCTGTCTACGTATTACGCAAACATCTCCGCCTATACTGTAAGTTAATCAAGTTATTTTTTTAATTCTAGCTTATTTATATTTATTATGAATGTCTGTACCACCAGTTCGAAAATCAGCGATAATTAACAATATTACAAATTAGACAATGTTTCTTGATGAACGCATAATAAAGTTATGCTATAGATAATTACATTACAATCGAATGGACGCATTACGAACGATGAAGCAAAATATTTGAATTGAATATACAGTATAATATCGGCAACTAAGGGTTTTGACGACCACCCGAGCGTCCAGTTGTCCGATAGTGGTGCAGATTCATACCACAGAGTAAAGAGTAAGGACCAGAGGGGAAGCTTCTTAACAACGTTGAAAATGTATACCTATTCTGATAGGGTTGTCACATGATGCATGTGAAAAATTTAAGGAAAAAATAAAAATATTGTATAGCATAAGACAACACGTGCATTAATTATAACTTATATTAATGTAACAACATATCTATTAATTGTTCGAAATCAAGAGCTGTTTCGTATCGATTAATTATAAACAACAAGGAAAAAATTAAAATATTATATAGTGTATAAAACAACATGCATATTAATTATAACTTATATTACATAATATAACAACATAATATCTATTAATTATTCGAAATCAAGAGCTGTTTCATATCGATTAATTTTAAACAATTAGGAAAAAATTTAAATATTATATAGTGTATAAAATAACATGCGTATTAATTATTACTTATGTTACATAATGTAACAACATAATATCTATTAATTGTTCGAAATCAGGAGCTGTTTCGTATCGATTAATTTTAAACAATATGGAAAAAATAAAATATTATATAGTATATAAAATAACATGCTTATTAATTATTACTTATGCTACATAATGTAACAACATAATATTTATTAATTGATCGAAATCAAGAGGTGTTTCCTATCGATTAATTTTAAACAATATATATTATTTACCTATAATAATAACTTAATTATTTTAATTAAAATACTTAAATCAAATTATTTAATAATTGCAAAAATACTTAATAAATTAATTCTATTTATTTAAATGCGCACGACTAACAGCCCTTTCAAGTATACTCAGATTGAGCCGGCGCAAACTGGTTTGTACCCCGACGGAGCGTCGGTGAACCTGTCGGTGAGAGCTCACGCAAACCTCGCTGCGCTATGTATGCGTGTATTCGCAGCGAGCCGTTTGTATGTAGCTTCCCCTCTGGTCGGTTTCTTTACTCATGTGTTCATACACTCTTCAAACGTACTCTGTTAAATACCGAAATATTGGCTGGCCTATGATTGAAACTGGCAACACTGGTCTTATCTAAATTGAGGTTATATAATATAACATATAAACCTCATAACCAATACCGCATACCGGTAAGCGAAGTGTAGGGCGGCCCCCCACTAGATGGAGTGACGACCTGGTAATATATGCAGTAAGTAAATGGATGCAGATGGCTCAGGACCGTGCTTTGTGGCATTCCTTGGAGGAGGTCTATGTTCAGCAGTAGACTTGTGAAAAGCTGTAATGAGATGATGACGATGACTGTATAGTTTCTGTTCATAACACTTATAGCATTTATATTATAAACTATTGTTAGTATAGGCAGTGAATTGAATGTACATTTGATCTATTCACCAGATGGCCCCGATATTCTTCGATTATAAGCGCACAGAGCTCGGGTTGAAAAAAGTGCACATGGCGTTGGAAGTATTTAATACATATCTGGAGCGTCTTGGTACCGACTACGCTGCGGCCGATCACCTCACCATCGCAGACTTTCCCCTTGTCAACTCCACAATGACCCTAGAAGCTATAGATTTTGATTTCACGAAGTATATAATGGTAATCATTATCATATGTCTTTCTTATATATCTGTATCTATAATATAAAAATGAATCGCTAAATGTGTTGCTAAGCGCAAATCTCGAGAGCAGCTGAACCGATTTCGCTAATTCTTTTTTTATAATATTTCTTGAAGTACGAAGATGGTTCTTACGGAGAGAAAAATTTAAAAAATTGCCTGAAAGAGTCTAAAAACAACACTTTTCTATATTCCCATACAAAAGATTCGTAATAATACGTAAAAGTCAATTTGAACTTTAATACCATACCATAAAGTTTAAGTGTTAGTGGAGAGGTTCCGGGAAGACAAAACAATTAAGTGACGATAGTATCGTATAAATATTAATGTCAATATTTGTCAATATTTATACACACTGGCAAATATCTGATGTTATAAGGAATAACTTGGGCTGCTTTTATTTTAGGGTTCCGTGAAAAATAATTCCACGCGGGCGAAGTCGCGGGGAACAGCTAGTTATATATAAAATTGAAGTGTCTGCGTGTAATATCGATTTTACTGCCTTATTTAAGCTGAGCGGGTTGTTTGCGTGCTATTAAGACATGTATTAAAAAAAAATTTAGAGAAATTAAATTTAGAGACAGACAGACAGACAGACCTCTGTCTGTCTGGGCTTTGGGCTAATCTTCAGAATAGCTGAATCCTGATCCTACCTTGGCGAAGCCAGGTAGGATCTACATTTTATAAAACCCAAGTATATACCTACACTTCGCAATTATGCATGGTAAGCGCGCTTAAAAAGCCGCGCCCACCATACTTACGCTGCAAGTACAGCCTCATTACTGACGATCTCGGATGATGAACTATAATAGTAATAAGTAAAAATGGTGTGGTTATTTATCACTGTTTGTAACTTTCCATTTGGTGATAAATAGTAAGTTATTTATTTTGTTTAACAACGGCAATATAACAACCGCCGTTGCCGTTATTAAACAATATAATATTTTGTTTAATAACGGCAATGGCTTTATTTGACACGTAATTTTATGATATAAAATTACGTATCAAATTGTTTGTCCACGATGAACTCCTAAACTACTAAACTGATTTCAATTAAATTTTGCACACTGTGTGCAGTTTGGTCCAATTTGAGAGATAGGATAGTTTTTATCCCGATAAGTAACGCTCAATATTTTTTTATTGCGAATTTAAGAATTTTTTATAAGAAGGGCCTTCGGAAAGGGCAGAACCAGAACAACGTCGGTCTGGCCAGCTAGTATTTTAATAAAAAGTAAAACCGTTCTAGAAAGAACTAAATGGAATAAAATAATATTCACATAAAATAACTTTTGAAGTCGGTGCTAAGTCAAGTGTATCCATATCGAACAATGAAAGTGCGTCAAAATTAAAAGTTATAGTTCCTTAGCGTCGGTATTTACTTTTTGTACTAAAAGTAAAATTTTTGACCCTTTTAAAGAGAATTGTAGACTAAAGAACACAAGCTCAAGGTACCTAGACTATCATCTAAATTCTAAACAGTTACGTTATAAATTTCATCTCTTCTTTTTACACAGTACACACTTCAGGGTGGCATTTTTGCTTTAAATGTAATGAAAATACGTCGTCTAAAACATACAAACAAAAACATACAGACGAATTTGAAACTTCCTCATTTTGTGAATACTTCTAAAAAATCAATTTTACCTAATCATTATGAAATAAGTCGTCGGTATAATTAATTTATATTTGATAGTTGATACCCGGTATCATCATTTTACATCGAGATATGCAAGACGAAAAGAGGTCAGTAATGTACACGTACGTGTTACACAAATGTTCTTTATAACGTTGAGGTATGTTGACGTTTAGACTTAATATAACTTTCAAGTTTCAAATGGAAAGTTAATTACTTGCCCAATAATTTTCTTATATACCTACGAGTATACATATTTTTAGTGTCATGCAGTAAAACGATTAAACATCGTTAATTTTTTTAGGCATTTTCAGATATTTATACTTCTTCTTTACCTTTAGATTAGAGACTATAAAAAAAGAATGATAAGTATATTAGACCTTAAAAAGGCTAATAAAAAAATAAAACAATATTTATTTTTCATCTGATATATTTACAGGTACACAAGTGGTATAACCATTTTAAGCAACAGCATCCTGAGCTTTGGAAAATTTCAGACGTCGCTATGAAGGAAATTCAACACTTCGCAGCGAATCCACCAGATTTAACTGACCTTAATCATCCTATACATCCGATTCGTAAAATAAATAAGTAAAATAAATAATAACTACAATGCACATTACTTTACTATTACATTTTTTAATTCTATCCGGAACCCGATACGCATTTCTTCAAGAAGCCAAGGCACGCGAAAGTACAACAGTCGGAGTGATTCATGCACTGTAAAAAAATGTTTTAGAATTAATTAAATCGCCATAAACACAACAGGACACATTTATAAACAATCTTATAATAATATCATGGTCATTTAGTCCAGTTCTTAAGTAGCGAAAATATTAAGGATTTGTGTTCCCTCTATCATTCTATCTTTTCTATATATGGCAGGACAATAATTTCAAGTAATACTAAACATACAAAAATCCTCAAACCCTAACAAAAGTTGCATGGCACGTGGTCAAGCGGTTTGCTATCCGCCTCTCATGCAGGGCACTTTCACAGCAAATTTTGGTAAACCTAATTTCCGTGTTATGGCCATAGAATAAAGGAGATTGATCGGGGAATTATCAAGCTCTCATAACTTATACAGCTCACCCCCTTGCAGCCCTAGCCCTGAGTCGGGTTAAGCTGTAAAAACCAAAAGGTTTACAGTGCTGACATCTCAGAATATAGAAGGTCTCATACCTGTAATACCTCCTTAATACCAGCGGAAAATATCAACATATCGATGGTATGTTTCGTATAGTCAGTGACGAGAATCGGCGACCATACTTACTGTTAAAGTGATATATCAATTAAGTCCTTAAAGGTGACAACGCATCTGTATTTTGTAGGTAATCTAGACTAGACGTATGTGTCTATGAGGACACCTCATATCATCCATTCACAATCAGATTATTACTGTGTGATCGTTTGTCACTCTTGCTGGCATAAAAAGTTATATTAATTTAGTCAAGCAGCCGTTTATGACCACAGGCTTCCTTTCGTAAAAAAGTTTGTCATGCTGGTCCGTCAGACATTGGTTAAAAGACTCTATGTTAAGAGTAGAGTTCCTAACATCTATCCGAATATCTTCAAAAATGTATTAGGTCTTAGGATGAACAAAAAGCTCACTAACATAGCTAAATGTATCAGTTACATAATCTTAACACATATTGAAGCGGTCGAAACTTCCCAACACCTGAGTTACGGCTAAATTTTTTTGTTTTTTAGTCTGTAATTTTAATTAAATTAAGTGTCGACAAATTTACGTAACTTATCCGAAACATAGGAAATTAAGTTTACATAAAATACAACGCTAAATTAGAATATGAGTGCATTCGGAAGCTGTTTATGACTTGTCGTAAAACCGTATAATATAAATAACCAACATCGTCAATATCGTCTTAGGCAGTATTTGTCCAGAAATGAAAATTCTGGTCAGAACGTACCTATTTCTAAAACTGCATCCAAACCGCCCTAGCATTTTGTTACATGAATGCAAAGTAAATTTAGCCAACGAAATTGACAATTTTTGGTTTCCCACCTAGACAAGTTATTGTAGCAGCAAAAATCAGGATTTACAGTGCCACTATGTAACGCTGACGGGAATCTTTGCCAGTGGGAATCACTCTGCAATTATTATTTCTTTAACCGTATTTCCTTAATATGATTACAGTTGGTTATGAACTTAAAATAAAATATATAAAAAAGGCTTCATCAATACTGTAATATAACGAAATAAAATGTCAAATGACAAAACAAAGCTGACCACGAATCTTACCAGACTTAATCACACTGCAGGATATTAACATTGTCATATTAAGGGGAGAAAATACTACGGTCCAATGATGATAATGGTCTCGGCGAGACTATTATGACATTGCTGTTATTTATTATCTTTGTACCTACTTATAAAAATTAAACCAAATATTTAATTGCAATTTCTTGTTATAAGCATTGAGCTATAATATATAATAAAAGACTAATAATAAGTTTGGGAAACAGTAAATAGATAAAATAGTAGTAATTATTTTGCAATACATACAAAAGATCCTATTTCAACACATTTCTTTGTAGAGCTTTCGAGCGCAGTATCTGTTGGTGGCTCTACTGGAATACTCAAATTGTTGCCATTGACGTCATCAAGGGGAACCGGTACATCTTTAGTTGAGAAGAAGGCCCCATCACTTTTACCTCTTATTAAATTTCCGGCCGCGTATTCAGCGGCGAATAACATCGCGGCGAACAACACAATCCATGAAGGAGTCATTCTGATAGGAAACAGACACAGACACTGAATGTAGCGCACAATTGTCGCTTGATATAGGATGAGTGTCGACACTAGTTTTATGATATATATGCTATATATACTTCTCTACACCCGCATCAACGCCGAGTGAAACTGCCTTTAGCGATAACTGAAAAACGGTGTTACATCTGCAACAGGAGGATTATATTTCCAATAACAATTTTTTAGTTTGACGTCTGTTTATTGAGTTAGCTATTACTCGATTATATGCATTTTTTATTTCTTGTTTTTTATTAAAATAATTTAGCTGCAATAATTCACATCAGTCTCTGGTCTGTGTCGTCAATTTGTTCAATTTTGTGGAATACTGTATGATAAAAACTCAACGTAATAAATCAAAAGGACAAAACTATAACAATAATAATTTACTATTGTTTTCATTTAAATTTAAACTGTGACTGGATCTAAAGTTAAAATCCTCACTTTTTCTTTTATAGAATTAAGATGACAAGCGAGCTCAAAGTCCATCTGACAGTAAGTGAATGTTGTGGCCCATAGATATACAACATCTGTCCTCGATTGCCTCGATTAAGATTCAAATGTAGATATGCGTTGTCACTGCTGAAGATTTAGATGACATGCCTCATTTCCAGTATAAAGGTCTCCGGTTCTCTACACTCACCATACAAATCACAGCAGAATTTAGCTTCTATTTTACGCTGGATTTTGTGAGTTTGAAGTGCAATGAAAAAAACAACACATTTTCATTAAATATGCACTTCAATTTTTACACCTGAAATTATAGAAAGAAAGCAACCTGTATTATAACCTGTAGTATATTTAATGTAAGTGCTATCAATTAACCTTGTTTACAATCACAGAATTTATTCTACTATCGAGTATCTAGTATGTGTACATAATATGTATTACTAAACTACGTAAGCTGTTCGATATTTTTTATCATAATAGGCACTTATCATTGGGTACATTTTATTGCGGGTATTGTGATTTGTTAATGGTGCGCACAGCGAGGGCTTGGAATTTTTTACCGGCATCTGTCTTCCTTAGTCGCTGCTACAATTAGGTACTTTTCAAGACAGGAGTGAACAGCTATTTTCTAAGTTATCGTGTTTCTTTCTCATATAGCTGCAGCATGGCTCTACCACTCTTACGTGGTAGAGCTATGCTGCAGGTATATTAGTAGTATAGTTGTAGCACGAATGGGTCGGCTCGACCGCGGAAGGACCACGCTCTCACAGAAAACCAGCGTAAAATAGCAGCTTAACGCTGCTGTGTTTCGTATGGTGAGTGTAGAGAACCGGAGACCCTTTTTACTGGCAAAGAGGCATTCCATCATAGTCCTCACGGGTGACAACGCATCTGCATTTTGATTCGCAAACGAGGATAAATGTAGATGTCTATGGGCCACAGCAACCACTTACCATCAGGTGAGCTGTGTGCTCGTTTGTCACTCTATCCCATAAAAAAAGGTCTAGGACTCTATGGTCACTTAAGATCAAGTAGGATCTTGATGAAACATCTAATCAAAACCGTTACTTTTTTTTTAAAATAACATTTTTTTTTAAAATAATATGAAATTGAAATTTAACCCATTCAACAAACATTTAATACTATGTATCAGATATCCACATCAAACGAGAATTACCGACATTGCCCAACGGAGCAAGTTGAAGTGGTATTATGGGCTGATCATAGAACACTTAGAAATTATAACCGATAGGAAGATCCTCGTGGAAATATTTGCCATCGTTGCCACGCTTGGCAAGCGGATTGGCAACCGTAACTTTTTACTTTTAGTCGTTATTAGCAAGACGCTGTTGCCTTTCTCCTGATTTGTTTCCATTTGTCGCCTCTTATGACACTGATATGAGGTAGTGGATATTCTTACACCGACACTACACGATAAGGTAAATAGACATCAACATTTATCCTCAACTAACAATCACAATGCAGATGCCTTTTGATTGTTAATTAAGGATAAATGACCCTAAATGAGGATAAAACCCCTGAGGACTAAGATGGAATGCCTCGTTTACAGTAAAAACAGTATCTAGTTCTCTACACTTACAATACGAAACACAGCAGCACTAAGCCGCTATTTTATGCTGGTATTCTGTGAGAGCGTGGTCCTTATCCTAGTCCGGCCGATCCATTCGTGCTACAACCATAACATAACTGCACCGTGTCTCTACCGCGTATAAAATGGGCGTCGGTTAAGGGTACCTCCAATTTAAGGGTACAAAGGGTATAAGGGTACAAAGGGATCTGGACTCTACAAAGTTTAAGAAGGCATTTTGTACCATTTCCTAATAAGAAATTATTTTTTCATTGAATTGTGGAAAAAATGGTAACCGGTTGGAGTTAGGTCTGGCGAGTACAGAAGACGATGTATGATTTCTAATTGCTAGTCTTGTAATGATTCCGAGCAGCGTGAGATCTTGCGTTTACGAGCAATAATAATGAATAGAATTATTCCATTCTAAAAAAATGGCGGAGATCAACAGATGAGGCGTGGTTGTTTCTCAGATAATTTCGTCCATCCATCAATTCAATATTGTCCTCCATCGTTATTCAGAGTTCTTTACAATACATATATGATTATTATTATTTATTATACACCGGATCTCAAAAGGTTACAGTGAATTGCATGAAGTGACCACCAAACCATTAGTCACCATTTATGGCTGACCTTCGCTTTAGGAAATTGTTCCGGTATTTAACCTGGATTCAGCTATTGCATTTTTCACTTGCGATTATTGTAAAGAATCACACGTTACAATGCCGTCCAAAATCCCTTTATTTCGGTACCTACCTACTCGACAAAACAAGTCTCTGCGCACTTTGGTATTTTCATGATGGTTTTTATATGTGGTAGAGCCACGCTACAGCTACATTTTTGTAGTACGAATGGGTCGGCTCGATCGGGGTAGTACCACGCTTACGAATACCAGCGTGAAATAACAGATGAATACTGCTGTGTTTCGTATGGTGAGTGTAGAGAGCCGGAAACCCTTTTTACTGGATACGAGGCATTCCATCTTAGTCCTCAGGGGTGTGATAAAATGTAGATGTCTATGGGCCACAGTATCCACTTACCATCAGGTGGACTGTGTGCTCGTTTATTCTATAAAAAATGAAGCATCCATTTCTCAAGCTTTTTTTGTATTTTAGAAATTTGGTGCAAATGATTCAATTTTGTGAATAAACTAACGTCATACCATGACGCTAATTCATTGGTTGTTTGATTAGGATCAGCTTCCACAATTTCTTTTAATTCATCGGCATTTACCTTAGTTTCTGGTTAGTGTCTGGTACTAACGAAGAACGTTAGTGTTATTCTCTCCAAAAGCAGCAGTGTTATTGCGTGCTGTCTCTGCTGTATTAAAACCACGTTGGAATTCACTTTCGATAGACTACTCTAATTTTTCAGGTCCGCATACCTATTTTACTAATACCGAATGATTGAAAGTCAAACAAAAGAATGTTTTCACAAACACAAACAATTTGAAGTTTCAATCACGAATCATGCGAACTGCAACTGCGACTTCACAGGTACTTTAATTATGCTGATGTATGTTACCCCGATATAAGTCAAGTACTTCTGTGCAAATTGGATCGTTTGCTTAAATAACTGCATCCGTTTTATTTTTGGTCATTGTAAACACGATCGTGTATTCTTATATCTTTCTAAGCTTAAAAGGCTACCTATCCATCAGCGTAGATGCATCAGAATTCTTCGAACCCTGTTGTCAATCCCTTATGATATAACCCTAATACCTGAAATGCAAGTTTCAATATTTGGGTTCTGCGCAAGATCGTAACCTGCGATCTTCCAAAGGAAATAACTTAGGTGTTTTTCCTCGACGTACCAAATAACAATGGCAGAAATATAGTTGACAAAAATGATTACGTCTAAAAATAACTTATATATAAAATTAGTTTAATTATTTTGCTATGATTTTTCAAATAAAATGTATTTTAATTAAAGCCATAGAAAAAAGAACATACATTTTTGGGGGAATATCAAATGATTTTAATCATTTTATACTATTGAAGTGTTGTCATTTATATATCCATACTACCTATTTTCGTATACACTTTATAAGACTAACACACATACACAAAATATTTTTAGAATTATTACTGATAGTATAGATATTATTATCATTAATATCTATACTATCAGTAATATTAAAATAATAATAAAAAATAGTGATAGGGTTGAAAATAAGTCTCTTAAAAGAATTTACTGCAATAATACATTATCTCAATCATAGTACTATGTAACAATTCCATTTAATGTTGTGGCAGAAAAGCCTCAGAAGCCATGCCAGAAATATACATTTTTAGTATGCAAATATATAATAGAGATACAATAATCTAAAAACTCTCAATTATGTATGTAGGTACATTACATTATGTTGAGAATGTATTAAGCTAACATCAAACAACAACAGGACGCATAACTTTTTCCAAGTGACATAAGACATAACCTAAAAAAGTTCAAATCTATATATCTTTTTTGACACCTTCTCAGGACAAAATTCTTTGACATGACATTTTACTCAGGGACTGACGCTTAACATTATAAGATATTTTTGATATATATAGACGCTAACATTTCTTCTCAACTAACTTTATGTATGAAAGTCTGCCATTGTTCTTTATTTCTTTATTGTCTTTCGCCGCTGAGGCCATAAGGCTTTGGAATAAATTACCTCCACATATTAGGAAAACGAATTCTGTTACTGCCTTTAAGAGAATGGTGTATTTTTGACCATTACCTTTCTTCTTCCAGTGGCTAACTTTCGTTGATGAGATGATGAGAATGCTTAAAAGGTTTCTATTACTTTTAAAAATTGCATGCATTTTATCATGTATAGAGAGTATATTATTTAGGTTATTTGTAGTATTTATAAGTAAATTTATATGTATATATATGTTTTATGATTATATTTAGGCAAAATTTTTTTCATTTTTTAAGGCACTTGCGCTTAGCT